TTTTGTAATCTACACATAATTTTTATCAATTATTGATGGAATCGACACCGTCTGGGCGTGTAAACCGCACCATGTAAGGAGTGATTGAAAAACGTGATATCCATTCAAGGAATACTGATTTAAGGGAATCCGAAATGTGTTTGTCAGCACAGCCTTACACTTGTTCTGTCAAAGATGAATGAATGAATGCACGCATGTTCGACAAGCAGTCGGGGGAGGAGGGTCATACCGAAATTCGTTGAAATAATAATTCAGTGTTAACATCACATCTGTGATTCTTTTTGTTATTCGTTTCTTCTTCTTCTCGTTCATTCGAAAGTGGAATGCAGTTTGTATCCTTGTTTACAAACAGGGTGAACAAAGAAAATTCGTAGCCGAACAGGATCTGTTCAAGCATTGAATGCAGTATTCACCCCTCAACACATTCGTTGAGAGACCTCTTTATAATCGTTGGGGAGTTAAGGCTCATCACACTTCAAAACAAAATCCCCTCATCCTTGTTGTTGTTGTTGTGTTTGGATTTGTGTTTAGTTGGACATATGTATGTACTTGAATTGTTTTGTTGGCTTGTTACATTTGGTGTTGTTATTGTTGTTGTGGCAGTGAGCCTCTGGGGTATAATAAATAAAATTATCTAAATAATCATTGTCTGTCATTCTTGACTTCTTGCCGCCGTATTGTTGCCCTTCTTTTCGAAAACGTTATGTGATATTTTTGTGGCTTGTTGTATTGTATTGTACTATTTTGAGTCTAGGTCTGTTATGTTGTTGTTGTTCTTACCAGTCAATCCTTTAATAGCATCAGCTAGTTGAATTTACATACTACCGAAGTCAGTGCAGTAATTTAAATTGATAATAATAATTAAAAATTTAAAATTAAATTTTATGGAATTTTAGCCGAGTCCATGGGGAAGAGATCATGTCAATGTTTCATTTATTGTGCGTATGAATTTAGACAGACTTGAATTAAATTGGATTTTCGACAAAAACAATAAATTTTGTGCATCGGTAGAAAATTCATGAAAATACCCAAATGTACATATATATCTTTATATATATATATAATTTTCAATATATTTAATTAAATCTCATCTGGAAATATCTTAGCAGTAGAATGAAATACAGAACAAAATTTGAAAAATAATATGTGAAAATCACATGTTCGTTAAACACACATTAAGAAGAAACCACTAATTCAACACTATTTTAGATATATACAAGAGTTGCTCCACATATTCAGGACTGAATCTATTTCTAAGGAAAAAGTTTAAGTTGACAACATTTAGATAAGTTTAAGTTAACATAGATTATATGTGGGTCCTGATTACAAAGGTATAATGGTTTAATTCTGAAAGCCTAAACTTCCTAAGATATGACCTTATATATATGTAGCAAAGGAGTAGCACTAGCAACACAAATATTTATATTATTACCGATAGGTTGAAAAACTATTTTGAATAGTATCCAAATAATGGAAACAAATAGTTAATACAAATGAAATGAATAATTGAAATATTAAGGATACAAGATACAGTCGAATTCGGATAAGTGAAATCTGTTTTATTGCAAAAATAAGTTACTTATTTATCTGGCTGAAAAAAGATTTCCAGGCGCGACGGTCTTGTGCGAAATTTTGTTTTCCACTTGATCTTTCCATCGGATTCGTGGCCTTCCTTTTTTTGAGTGAACCATCAGTTGGCTCGTTTTTATATGCCTTTTGACCTGGAACATCCTCATCCATTCTCACAACATGGCTCAACCACCGTAGTCGCTGCAGCTCGATACGTCTGACTATGTAGATGTCCGAGAATAGATAGTTCATTCAACGGCGATATTCAACATCGACGCAGATCGGTTCATAGATATTTCGGAGAATGTTTCTCTCAAACACGGGGATTCTGATACATACACCAGCATGGGTAGTATCATGGGTAGCTTGTAGAGCGTGATTTGGTCTGGCAAGAGGTGACCTTGTTATTGAATTGCTTACTCAGACCATAATAGCATCTATTGGTCAACAATATTCTTCTCCGAATTTCAAAACTGATATCATTAGTTTTATTTATGTTGTTACCGAGGTATATAAAATCGTTCACTACATCGAAGCGGTAGTTTTCAAGTTCCACAGTTGGTTCGAGGCTACTGAACATCTCGCGCTGCCAGTCTTCTGGATATCTTACTGCCAGTCCCACTTTGGCAGACTTATTCTGAAGTGGTTCAAAGTTGACTGTTAGCGCTCGCAATGTTCAATCCATTACGTCAATGTCGTCGGCATAGGCGAGCAACATATGCTGTTTGGTGTACAGATTGTCATTTCCGTTCACATTTGCATCTCGAATGACCTTTTCCAGCATGTAAAATTGTCACCTTATCTGAATCCTCGTTCGGTATTGAAGGGCTCTATAGCGGATTTACTAGGTCTAAAGCCACATTGGTATGGTCCAATAATGTCATTGACATTGGCTTCAGTCGTTTACCCAGCACGCTGGATAGCACTTAATAAACGATGGGGAGGAATTAGTCTCCTCCCCATCGCAAAAATCGGTTAACCGATTACAAATCTACAAATTTTTCAGCCATATGCAGTGTTTACTTATTTGATACATACAGATAAACAAGCAACCTGTCTACGGAGAAGGAAAGTTGAACGGAGATAACATTAATTTTAAAAAATTACATGGTGCACAAAGTTCTTCCAACAGTTCTTCTACAATTGAATGATTGACCAACATATTATAGGCTTTCCTTCGTGAGTATTCGGAGGATTCAATATATAATGCTGACAAATCAGCCATTTTCTATAAAGCAGTACCATCTGAAACTCTTACAAATAAATCTGATATGAAAGATCTCGATACTGAATTTAAAGAAATCGGAAAGACAATTTTACTTTCCGTGAACAATGCTGTGTAACATAAGATATATGATGGTACAATTTTGGTGAATATACAAATAGTTTTTCTTCCGGCCAATATGACTTCTTTGATTCAGCTGAATACAGCTCCTACATCTAGAATGTGGACTTTCCTTACAAGAGTATTCCAAAAACGTAGACAACTTAGAAGCTCTGACGATGGCACAAACAGCTTGCTCGAATGTGACTGCCGAAACAATCCAAAACTGGGGCCAAATCACCGAATTCGTCATCGAGTTCTGTTTCATATAGAGAAACATTTCGATGGTTGTACATATTTGGATCACCGCACTTGATCGTAATTTATTTTGTCTACTACTTTTGTTTACATTGCTGTAAACATATGGTAATAAGAAATTGGAAGCGAAAGGGAATATCAAAACAAGTTGTTATGATCAAAATATGTAAATTCTTTGAACTATACATCGTTTTTGTGTGTAAAAATATATATTATGAATCCAAGTGCGTGTTTTTTAATAATTTCATTTAATTTAATTTAGCTTGAGCAAATTATTTTGGAATAAGTTTAGATGCTCCAACATAAATTGAGCCAATACCTCTTTCTGCTTTGCATTCACTTTTTTCATCCGTGTCCCTAAATGTAAGTAATATATTTTCTTAGATGTATTTTGGCAATGTAAATAATACTTACATTTTCACCGACATCTTGTCCCTTTCTGTTTACCTTTTCCCGCGCAAAAATCCCTAAGTATGTAGTTTTCGATAACATACTACCTATCGTGTACAACTTCGAGTATAAATAATTCGATAACGACTGCGGTGATCCGCGTGGGCTACATTACGATGGTGAAGTACTCGATTTCGACTGCGGTGATTTGGCCCCTGCTTTTGTAAGGCTGAAATTATTCCTAGAAACATAGACTATTATCTTGAAGAGAGTCCTGTGTCGGCGTTTTCTGGGGCTTTAAGAGGTGAAATTGTAAATCTAATTGATATTGATAAAAAATGTAGATTGACTGACCATGTGATTTCTTGGACAGCCAGTCAGTGACTTTTACGGTTAATAATCGAAATATAGAGAACGATGATGGTATTATTAGCAATATTAAATCTACTTAGAAGGAGACATTATAAGCTATTGACGTAATTAAATCATTTTTTTAATACAACAGCGAGGATTTAACTAAAATAAATGATCTCGAAAAATTAATGTCTCAAAAACATTTAAAACAATTTAGCCGCAAAAAATAAATGACTATTTTAATTCAAGTTGTTTAATATAATTTTTCTACTTTTTTATTTTTAACTCAAGTGCCTCAAGGAGATTCACTTATCCGAAGTGCTTTCAATTGAAAATCCCGCATAAGAGAAAAAAATACTGAAATTACTTGTGTTCGCTTAGCCATATTCGACTGTACTCATAACCAGAAGATTATTTTAAATTTAGGGAGAGTTAACTTGGCTCAAAATACATCTCTTGTTCTAATTTATCTTCCAGCCTTAATTTATTTAGCGATCATGATTTAAATTTGATCGATATATCATATTTGATATCATTGCACCAATATCTGGTAAAATCATAAGCAAAAGGCTAAACTTACATCCTGGCTGTACAACTCATGCCTTATTTAAATGTTCCACATTCGATATGGCTGCAAACTTGACTCCGCCTTGCCACAAGTAATTAAATAATAATAAATTAAATAAATAAGAAAAATGGGGTTTCTTTTTTTCACAAATTTTATTTTTTAATTATATTTTGAGTTTTTAACCTTTTCTGGTTGGTATTTCGCGATTAAAAAGTTGACCGCAAGAGAAGACTAAGGCAGGAACCGAAAATATTTTTTTGACATTTTAATCATAGACACTTGCCAGCCGAATTCAAATCAATTTTGACAAAAAAAAAATAGATATCTGATGGGCTTACTGGATGACATAATATTGGGCCTTGCTAATAATGGTACTCACGACAGATGCATTTGGTTAGTACTATAATTTAAAATAAATTGAAAACTGAGATTATGTAGTTTTGTTGACAAATTTTTCATGATTTAACAAATAATCACGTTAAGTTATAAATTATTTGCATTATTTTAAATGATTTAAATTTTCTATTATTTTTTCAGATTCAAACGCCGAAGAGGACGATGACGAGTGCAGCAGTTCTAAACGACGACGGTGTCGTACCAATTTTAATGCTTGGCAGCTTGATGAGTTGGAAAGAACTTTTTTGACAAGTCACTATCCAGATGTTCTTCTAAGGGAAACGCTTGCCTTGAGATTGAACTTAAAAGAGAGTCGGATATCAGTAAGTTCTAACTATAATTAATATTTAATTAATTTGAGTGTTAAATTAATTAATTATAATTATTAATTCAAATTACCAGGGTGCAATAAAAAAATTGCATAAATTAAAAATTTTAAATTTTATGCAATCATTTAAAAATTGCAATTCAGACGCCCTAATTGATTCATTACCATACTCACACACACGCACACACATAGACGAATGTAAATGAGCATTCAAAACATGGCATACAATTTCAATTGAATGACAATGGCGGTAAATGTGATTTGCGAAATGAGATGCAATTACCGAATAACCGACGACATTAAATGGTTAACAGGAGGCAACTGGTATTTTTTCGTATTCCGTTGCTGTTATTTGGCATTGCTTATTGTTTTGCAAATTAAATAATTTCAATTCATCATGAACAATTGCTGGCACTTTGTTTCCCCCTGTTGCACTCTTTACTACACACCCCGCCCCACAGGAGGCACTGTTTTGGATGGAAATGGAAAACAACCTAATACGAAATGTTGATGATGATGATTACTCGAATACCAGATATGAATGACTTCATGTCGATTGTGATTACAACAAAATGACATTTAAGTTGAAATTGTTTCTTGACATGATATGCCAATTTTATGCAGACATTCGATATTGGCTTTTACAGGGTGTCGACAAAAGCTGTGTACTCATTTTTAAAAGGACATCACTAAATGATAGCATGTACACTTTTAATACAGGAATTTTCATGGCTTTGAATAACTTCAACGTCTAGGATTTATACTTCAAAGTAAATATATAAAAATCTCCACACCCTGTTGTTATTGTTTATTTCTTGTGAATTAAATTACCCTATGGCCCCCTCCTTGTGTTTGTGGCTACATTTGAAAACAATTTATACTATTTTTTACATAAGACAGAATGGAAAGCAAATTGGCAGAAAACTATTTTAATATTGAATTTAGTCATTACTCGAGTCTATTTTTAATATTTCATTTATTTATTTCCCCCCATTGTAATGATGATGATGTTCAATTGACAGGAAACCCATGAACATGCAATATGAAAAAGACGTTTAAATATTCTATACCCATACTACCGAAATATCAAAATCTGAATAATGTCCCGTATTTTGGGTACGGTTTTCAACCAAATTGTCTATAATATAGTATTTTGGAATATCATTGGATAGGAAGTCTTAATACAAATATTGTTAATAGTTCTAATCGAATTAGCTCTAATTTGCTATTTTGGGCTTTCATTGGGTAGAAAATATCCCTATTAATAGTTGTCAATATTGGCTTAACTATCGGATTAGTCCCTATTATTCGATATTTTGGGGACTTTGGGAGCATTTTTCAAATTGGTGGATGCACTCCACCACGTGATGTGCATTCAAATTTGTTTTACGCCCCAATGGAGAAATCAAGCAAAAACCTTCAAAATATTGACAAAGTGGGGTTACCCTTATATGGAGGTTATATCAACACATGGATAGAGCATTTTCCATATCCCAGTCAGCCTTCCATATGTCTTAATAACAATTTACAGCCACATCGTTGGCTTTAAAATGCCGAATTAGTGATGGTACCGTTCTGTGGAAGTTATACCAAAATTTAAACTGACATTACTAACATTTGGTAGGATACCCCATAGGAACTTGAAAAATCACATTAGAAAAAATTTGGTGGAAAAACATGTCCAAACTCCCAAAATACCGGTCAATTGAAAAACGTGTAATAAATCCGCATAATACCGAATATTTGGGGGTATCGTTATATGGAGGCTATACCAAAACATGGGCCGATAGAACATATTTGCAATACCAACAATTCAATGAGTAATAACAATGCCAGTGCAAAATTTCAAAGCTTTATCTCAAATATTGCACTCTCTATCGTGATTTCAACAGCAGGCATAAATCGAAATAGAATTTTATTCTGATCTAGAATACTTAGTTGGGGTATAAGATGAATATTTCGATGTGTTACAAAGGGAATAACAAATTTAATATACACTCTACCTTATGCTGGAGGGTATACAAATTATCAGTATAAATCCACGCTCACATATAAAGTCAAGCCTATTGTCGTTATTTTGAAAGTTTGGCATTCCAAGCTATTATTCCATTGGCATTCCAAGCTATTTGAAGGTAAAACACATTTTTGCAGAGACTTTTCTATATAGGTACAAGTTTTGGCACAGCCCGTCCCCACATTCCATTCCCGCTCATTATTGGTATTTTGAAGGATATGGTGAATGAAAAAAATACCTTGCGAAAATTTTCGATGTCGGTCTATCTTTGGACATAAACTCACAATTTTTTTTTTTTTTTTTTTGATTTAATTCGATTCTACACTAATTCAAGAATGTCTCTACAAAATTTCAAGTGAAAATCTCAAGAACTCATGAAGATATAGCCGATTTATTGTGTCAGCATCAAGTGACGGCTAAAGGGCTTCTCAAACTTTAAACGCGTTTTTCTCTTTTGCGAATGGCGGGCACGATAACTCAAAAACTAATAACCCCATCGATTCCAAATTTTTACACGTTTCTTTGAGAGTGTATAGCTATCGTATGAACTAGGATAAAGCCAATCGGTGAAGATCTTCCTTATTTTTTAACTTGGTTTTTGGTCAAAAATCGGCGATTTTCCAAAAATATTTTTTCAAAGGTCCGCCATTTTGTTAATTTTAGAGCGAAGTCAATAATCCTAGTTCATACGAGAGCCAGATATGTACTCTTTCTAACACCGTTGGAATTTTCGGATTCCGATGTTCCAGTGAGGAGTTATCATGCCCGCCATCAATATTAAGGACTTTTATTTAATTACAAGAAACAACAACAAAGCAATAACAAAATTTTTTTGTAAATTATTTTTCTTCTCTTTTAAATCTTCAGATATATATGTGCAAAGTTACAAACCTTAATATGCATTGGTATTGATTTACCAGCCCATTGAAAATCTTGAAAAATTAAAATCGAGAATGGGTGGGGATCCCTTAAGGTTTTTATGGCTCCCAAAGAAGAGCGCTGAAGGTACATTGAAGTTTTTATCCAATTTTTTTCAACCTGAGTTGTTACCTGTAATTTGGTATTTTACACAAGATGCTAATATACACAATATCCTGTAGATAGATCAAACTTAGCATTAGGACAATTATATTGACATCGGGGGAAATTAAATGTGTGATCTATAAAGATATTTGAACCAATGAAAAAACCATAAACATACCATCCTGATACCTATGAAAAATTGGGAGGTGGGTGCACCATTTACTTAAAATCGGACAAACTATATATGGGGGGGGGGGCTATATCTATATATGATCCGATTTCAATGAATCTTAACACACTCTATCTTAGTCTCAATCGGACAAAAATTGGTAGTTTGTTGCAACATTTACATAAAATCGGACGAAACTATATATCGGAGCTACATCTATATCTGATCCGATTTCAGTGACATTTAACACACTCTATCCGAGTCTCAATTCAATGCGTTATGCCAAATTTTGTCTCAATCGGACAAAAATTTGGAGTTTGGCGTACCATTTACATAAAATCGGATGAAGCTATATATGTGAGCTGTATCTAAATCTGAACCGATTTATAGAAAACTTCACTACATCAAACTGGACTTAATTCAGTACACAGTGTAAAATGTTGGCACACTATTTAGATAAAATCGGACGAAAATATATTTGGGAGCTATATCTAAATCTGAACCGATTTTCTCCAATTTCAATAGGGTTCGTCCTTGGGACAAATAAATGGGCTGTGCCAAATTTCATTCAAGCGAATTGTACTTAGCTCACAAGAATACATGGACGGAAGGGCGGACATGCATAAATCGACTCAGAAAGTGATTCTATGCATATTCTCAAAAGGAACCATGAATAACTAAAAACGTTCGATTACGATAGATCGAATCTTCATGCTATACATATTAAATACTCGACATATGCATCTATATATTATTTTGTAAATATATTAACATTTATTAACTATTAATTATTCTAATAACAAATTCCCATTCGATTACGAACACCGACCCTACCGGCTATTACCGTTGTAATTGAATGTGGAGTGACAGTTGGCCTTAATGTCATCATTACAATATAAATGAATTTAAAAATGTTCTATGAAATGGCAATAACAACAACGACAACACAAATAACAAAACAATATAATTTCTATGGCTGTTAGTTGGTAAAAGTACACCATGACAAATTGCTCGATTTAAAATAATCACTCACAACAATAACGACAACAACAAAATAATATGAATTTGTATGTGTGTATGTAGTTATTATTTTATCATTATCGTTGTAAATAATTTACCCATTCACCATTTTGTAAATCGCTGGCTTTTAACCATCAATCGCTGGCAAATGTTGTGCAAATTCCATTTGACAGTATCATCCACCATAAAATTGTCAACAAAATAATTAAAACAGAACGAAGGAATGAACGCAGCAAAACAAAACATTTAGCATGGGTAGTAAAGTGGGGACGTAGTTTTGTTGTTTTCAAATAGCTGAAGCATGGACTATGGTTCCGTTTCGCTTCACTTATTTGCTCCGGTAGTAAATTTCTCTATTATTAATATTAAATTGATGACCACACTTGTAATTTAAAATTGATTATATTTTCATAAATTTTTATGGACGATTTGTCAAGTACAGTATTTTTCGGTTAATTGACCCTACGGTTAATTGGTTTCCACGCTTAATTGAACCACATGATGGGTCAAAAATATCTAATTTCATAGTAAGCGGGTTCGGATAATTGGTTCCTCGGTTAATTGAACAAAAATTTGTGCAAATTTTGATGTGCAATTAACCGAAAAATACTGTATATGAATTAGAAAAGTAGTAGTAAAATCGTCGGTAATTTTGACCATGTCGAACTTTTTACACCCTCGACAACGAATGGGACAATGAAAATTCCTATAATGGGTTTGGATTCTTATATGGGGGTTATGGCAAACTATAGACGAATGTTAAACATTTTCTTCCAAAAGGAGGGTCCATTTATATAGCGGATATGTCAATACATGGACCTACATTGGACCTTTGTTGTATCAGGTAAATGCAATCTGCATTTTGTTTACAAAAAAGCATGAACGAGCATGCATTAATCAGAAAGTAATTCAAGGTATTCTCAAAAGTATCGATAGGTCTCTCTCGTTTAATGTTATGTGTTATACGCTGCACCTTACTTACTTGGCTGGATTTGTCTCGAGCTTAAAAAAGATTTCCATGCGCGTCGGTCTTTTGTACAGTTTCTTCAATTTGAAAGAACCAGTTTCGATATGTTATCTTCTATTTGATTTTTCCATCTATTTCGCGGGCTTACCCACGAAATCGCGAACCATCGGTTGGCTCGTTTTTAGATGCCTTTTGAGTTGGAGCATCCTCACCCATTCGCGTGTAACACGTGCTGAGAGCCATTTCCATTCACCTTTCTCTCGTATTACCTTTTTCAGCAAGATGTTAAAAATGTTACACGACAGGATGTTAAAAGACCACTCGTCTGAATGCTTGTTCGATTTTTAATGGCTACGAGAGGTCCTTCCCGACATTAACTGCATACCTTGTGCCAGTTAAATTTAATTTTGCAGGAATACCGAACGCAGAGATGTCTTTAAACTCCTTTGAGCGGAATGGACTGTTGAGTGCGGTGTTAGAGATGGAATGTGTCGATATATTTCCTGAATCTTTCACAGGATATTACAGCATTGTGAAAAACTGGTCTATAGTAGATTTATCAGGTCTGACGCCGCATTAGTAAGATCCAATAATAGCATTGACCATTGGCTTCAGTCGTTCACACAGAACTATGGAATGCACTTTATATGGGATGAGAAGGAGACTAAATCGTCTATAGTTGCACATATCGTTTGATCTCCTGTTTTGTGCATGGGACACAGGATGCTGAGGTTCCACTCATTGGGTATACATTTCTCTAGCCAAATTGTACTAATCAGTTGGTGAAAGCTCCTGATCAGCATCTGACCATCGGACTTGAATAGTTCGGCTGGTAACCCATCGGCCTGCTGTTTTTTATTCTTCAGCCGATTAATTACTATTCCGACCTCATCTTGGCTAGGTGGTATACAATCTGTATCGTCATCTCTAATTGGTTCTGGGGTATCTTCTTCACTGCCACTATTTGATACCAGAAGGTTTGCAAAATGCTCCTTTCAGATCCTCAACACGCTATCTGTATCTGTCACCAGGTTTCCTTCTTCATCTATACAAGTGGATGTGCCTGGAGCAAAGCCTTCGGTTTGGTTTTTACTCGTTGGTAAAATTTTTCTTTACCATTGTGCTTCTATATTAATATCGGATCAAGGAATGATTTTGAGTAGCAATTGGTTTAGTTGAGCGGAGTACGCTTGCGCTACCTGTTGTGTTTGCGGCTTTTCGACGTCGAGTTTCCGTGTTCTATTAGATCGTATCTTTGCTGCTTCATTAAGACGAGTGCGAAACTTGACTGCTACAAGGTAATGGTCAGAATCGATATTCGTTGTTCGGATCGATCGAACGTCTAAAACCCTGGCTTACTGCCTTCCAACATGAAGTCAATCAACCTCTTGTTTCTAATTGGAGACTGAAGGCAGCGGTTATATAATGTTTCTAGACGCTCGTAGTATATGTCTTTGGTTGGTCATCTTTGTCTTCGGGTGCAAATGAGACTGGTGTAGAAAAACTTCGCTTTTATACGAATTATAACAATTCGCTCATTCACAGGAGTGAATCTGTATAAGAGCTATTTTATTTTCCTGTTAACCACAAAATTACAGCCAAATTTGTGTCTTGTTTCATGCCAGCACTAATACAGTGCCTAATCAATTGATTTACTTACACCTATCCCTTTCCATTGCATTTCCTGTAAGACAATAATATTGACTTTGTACTTGTTGGGTACATCTGTATAGTTCTTATGGGCGAACTCGCGGCACATATCACCTCACTATTTCGAACTGAATTGAAAACAATAAAAAATGTCCATTCTAAATTACTTTACAAACAATGACTTAATAATTATCTACATATTTATCATTTCAGGTTTGGTTCCAAAATCGTCGAGCCAAGTGGCGGAAAAAAGAAAATACCAAAAAGGGACCGGGAAGGCCAGCCCATAATGCTCATCCTCCTACATGCTCCGGCGAGCCAATACCTCTGAACGAATTAAAGGCTAAACAAAGGTATATTTTTGCTAAATTAAAAAAAAATACAGTCCATTCATGCAATATCCTCTCCCCATTTTACAGGGCCCAAAAACGCAAAAAGATGGAAAAAGCAATAGAACGTCAAGCTAGAAAATTACGTCTCAAAGGTATTGAGGTGGATATAAATAAGCTAAGAGCCGATTATATTGCACAGAGACGATCCAATGGCACCTTATCCGATTCTGATCTGGATATTGGAAACAATTTTGAAGATGAAGATGATTATCAAATTGACGTTGTCGGCAGCGAAGATATGGAAACTCGATCAGATTTTCAAAATTCTATATGTTCGACAAACGAATTGATCAATGATAATGAAAATATTACATCAGATGCAGAGCCAGAACATTTAACAGATAACGATACTGTAGATATAAAATATATTCCACCTACCAGCGAAGATAAGGATTTGAAAGCGAATAGCAGACAATTTTCCACCGGCACTATCAAAGTCAAAAATAAATTCCAAATTAATGAAACGAAAAAGGATACAAAACCGTTTATACCATTCAGCATTGAATCGCTACTTAATGCCCAATCATGAAGAATATTTATGAGAACTGTTGAAACTAGAATTACGTATTTAGATGTAAATGCAATAATTATTATTATTTATTTATTTCGAAAGATATAAAACAATAAAAATCCAACAAGAACTGAATTTTACTTTATGACTGAATATTTATTATTTATTTTATGTTACTATTCCATTAACTTCCCTACCCATGTTTTGAATTCTTATTAGTATCGCCTCTGCTGCAGTCATTCCCTGCAATCTCTTTGAAATAATTATCCAGGTTTTTTGATGATAGTAAAATTTAAATTAATATACGTCAAAGTTTGCATGTCTTTAATAGTAAAATTACACGTTTCCATTACAGATCACAAACGACAGGGTCTACGCAAAAAAACGATTACTTTTCAAGCAAATAACAGTTTTATCTTATTCTTATGTACAGAGACGTACAAGGAAACCAAAGGGGCCTTTTTGTTAAAGGGGTTTCAAAGTAATGAATTTTGCAGAGACATTGCAAAAGACTAGTGTTCTTTTTCTCTAGACATGACCAATAGGATCACCGTTTAACGTTTTGGTATAGCCCCCATATTCGGTATTTTATGGATTTTTTGCAATCGAATTAATTGTAATTTTATATCACGTATTTTCATTTGGTTTCAAATTTCACCACCAAAAATTATAAATTTAGGACCCCTATTCGGTATTTCGAGGATTTCTAATATGTCTTTAACTTTCACGCGTCATTTTCAGCATGTTCGGAAAATTCAGCCTCCACGAAGAAACATCCGACAACAGCATGAGGTTGATTCACTTCGCGTAGCAAAAAACATGGTAGTTAGCAGCACCAGATTCAAGCATTAGCAGCACCAGATTCAAGCATTAGCAGCACCAGATTCAAGCCACTGGGCTTTCTCCCGATCAAACAACGAGAAATCAAGTTGATCATGTTGTGATGGACGGAAGGCATTCATCCAGTTTTCGATCCGAGGAGTGAATATCGATTCGGACCATTACCAAAGTTCGCTCTCGTCTGAATATTGCAGCAAAGGAACGATCTTACACAACATGGAAACTCGACGTCGAAAAGCTGCAAACACAATAGGTACATACTCCGCTCAATTTACCAACTTGCTATTCGGAAGCACTCCTTGTCCCGATAATAATTTAGAAGCACAATGGCAAAAAAATTTTGATTCTCTACAAACTGCAGCAAAAGAAACATTTGGGTACCAAAGACAACCATCAAGAGACCCATGGTACGATCCAAAGTGTCGTAATGCTACCGAGGAAAAACGTAGCGTATAGGGCAACCCTGCAGGCATTAGCAAAAAGGGGAAAAGGAGCAACATATTTTCAAAAACAAAAAGAAGAATTAACAAGAAAAACGTGAGCGGGAGCAAATCGAGATGTACAAGAGTCAGAACGCAGTCCTACGAGTGAAATACCAAACCGACGATTTTCGTGCAGGCACATCCCCCTGTAGAGATGAAGAAGGAAACCTGTTGACAGATACAGATAGCGTGTTGAATATCTGAAAGAAGAATTTTGCAAAGTTTTGGTATCAAATAGTAGCGGTGGAAAATATATCCCAGAAACAAAAAGATAAGACGGTATAAATTGTATACCACCTAACCAATATGAGACCAGAAAAATAATAAACCAACAGGTACCGATGGGTTACCAGCCGAACTATTCAAGATCAGTGGTCAGATGATGATCAGAAGCATGCACCAACAGATTAGTACAATTTGACTAAAGGAATGCATACCCAATGATGAGAACCTCAGCATCCTGTGTCCCGTGCACAAAAAATGAGACAAGGCGATATGTGTCAACTATAGAGGAATTAATCTCCTACCCATCGCATGTAATGCGATATTCAGCGTGCTGTAGGAACGACTGAAACCAATGGTCAATGATATTATTGGATCTTACCAATGCGGCTTCAGACGATTGGTCCACAATAGATCAGATTTTCAAACTGCGCCAAATCCTGGAAAATACCCACGAAAAACACAAACAAATCATTCTACCTTATCATCGACTATAATGCCGCATTCGACAGCCCACTCCACTCCTTCAAAATTAATATGGCTATGCGGAATAACTTTAACTTGCACAAGGTCAGCAGTTAATGTCAGAAAGGACATCTGGGAGCAAACAAGGTGACAGTTTGTCGTGTGACATTTTTAACATCAATGCAAAGGTAAACAAAAATAACACTCTGTACACCAAACAGCACATGTTAGTCGCCTACGCTGATGACATCGACATAATGAGTCGATCATTGCGAACGGTAACAGCCCATTTTGAATGAATTGAGAAGGAGCCTGAAAAAATGGGACTAATAGTAAATGGCGAGAAGACCAAGCTGACGGTATCAATGTGCAAGACGTCCAGTAGACCAGGACTAACTGTGGAACTTGAAAACTACAGCTATGAGGTAGTTAGAGATTTCATCTACCTCTATACCGCCATAAAAAAAACAAATGGCATTAGTTTGTCGCCAGACCAAACTCGCACTCTACAAGACACTGACACTACCCGGGCTGGTGTATGGATCTGAAGCATGGGCACTTGCGGAAGCAGATGTGACAGCTCTTTTAATGTTTGAGACAAAAATTCCCCAAAGGATCGACTGACTGATCTTTGTCGACGGTGAATATTGCCGTAGAAAGAACCACAAGTTGTACCATCTATTATCGGGTATCGAAGTAGTCAGTCTTAACGAGCTGCAGTTGCTAGGTAATGTTAGGAGAATGGATGAGGGTGCCCCAGCTCAAAAAGCATATAAAATCGAGCCAACTGATGGTTCGAGCAGATCGGGAAGGCCACGAATTCGACGGAAGACAAAGAAAAATGGTATTTCCAATTGCATGCAGCTGGTGTTCCCACCGTTTACTAACCAGTCATGGATCGGTCTATGGTGTGAACGCGATCCCTACGAAAGGGTGGTCGCCCTCTCGGTCGGTGGGGCGGGTGTGAGTGACGAGGGTACGAACGAAAAAAAAACTGCGCACAAGACCGACGCTCCTGGAAATCTTTTTTTAAGCTGGGCTCATAGTTAAAAAAGGAAGAAAAGATGACCGAAAAACGTTCAAACGTGAATGTTTTGCTCAAAATCAATCGAATGAAGAATATTTTTGTAAAACATATCCCCCATCTCTAGTCCTTGTGCGACTTTTCTTTTTCGCCCCCTTTTTGCGACGTAATCTAAATACAAATTGTTTGACCCTCAAATGCTCTACAAAAATGTCGCATATTCCCGAAAAACAGATCCGTATCCCCGAATTCGCTTATGAACAGGTTTGACAAAATCGAAAGAACGAAAATTATATTCTTTTGTCGACGGAAAAAATCGAAAAGTCTAAACCTAAACTCGTTCAAAAATCTGGGCCCTTTGCTAATTCGCCTCTGTGAATCTAAATAACAATGTATAATTGTTTGTATGTGTGAGGTTGAAGTGAAATGACTTACGAAACGCCTTAAGGTGATGATGACTTTGCAACACAAACTCTTGATGAAGACGTTATCTTGAAATGATGCTGGAAAGGCCGCCTTCCCCATAAACGGAATTTCTACATATACCTACATGGATACACTTACATATGTATATTTGGTTAATCTGTGGCCACAGACACATCACAACGTCATTCCGACCTAGGGAATTGTCTTCGTTGTCCTCCTCATATAGATATGTATACATTTCTAAATATTCGAATTCGAATGAAGCTCGTTCGCGTTTGTTACGGCGCGTTAAGAACTGAAGGCGCGAAATTAATGAATCATTCACACCTGCATGACGGATTGCATGTACATATTCATTATTGTTATAGCCATTGCCGAGGCTGTGGTTTTGTTGCTATCGTAGCTGTTTTCGCTGCTTGCGGCTTTTCCATCCGACAAACAAAACAAGGCAAAAAGGGCAACATGCAGCCAAACCAAATGAAATCACTTGGAAATGTGATTGTTGACTTCTTGGCCAACAATGTTTGTTGGCTGGCTGTGATTGTTGCATGGCCAATGGGTCCAATGTCTTCATGTTTATATGTCAGACTTGTTGTATTGTTTGTGTGTGAAGGAGTCACCTCCCTAATTTATTTAGTTGATGTGTGTATTACGAGAATTGTTTTTAATTCCTTTTCAAGTTTTTTACGACTTTTGGCCGGACACGAGAAACGAAGAGCAAATAAATTATCATGACCGTGTTAAGTATGCACCAATCCTGCAAATATGCATCAAACTTCTTGCATACCATCAACCAAAGAAAGCCGAAGAAAGCAGCAGTCTGTTCTATAAGAAAGTATATGCCCTCGGACGATGATGGTTGATTACTGAAATAAATGTGAATGGAGTGAATGTTGTGGAGACCAGTCGGAAAAAAAATGTTTGGGATAATTAATATGTTGTGTATGATGCAAATATGTTATACGTATTCATACATAGGGAAAATATACCTCTAAAGTAGCTCAAAGCTCGAAAATTTAAATAGTGTTTTTTTTTTTTAAATTACTTAAGGTTAACAGTCTAGGTAAAATTCTCTGGGTTGACGTAAGTAAATCAGACGATTATAGCTGACATGAAACGAGAATCGAATTTGGCTGTAGATTTATAGTTAGAAGGAGTATAACAGATCTCGACTCCAGATTGACTCCTGTGAACGAGTGAATTGCTATAATCCGTTCGAAGTTCTTCTACATCTGTCTCATTTGCGCCCATACTCCGACGGAAGACAAAGATGACCAGCCCAAAGACATATTTTACCAGTGCCTAGAAACAGCATATAACCGTCACCCTGGCCATGACAATTCAATTCTGCTAGAAGATTTTATTGCAAAATCTTTGGCTCCACCGTCAGAAATTTCAGCCTCTATGAAGTAACATTCGACAACGGCATGAAACAGATTGATTTCGCCGCAAAAAAACAAACATGGTAGTTTTATAGGTCCGCCCGGGGAGTCCACTTAAACCGATTCATCCATGAAATATCCATGGAATACTCTGATGTGTCCGATGATGATGTTAAA